CCCCTGGATCCCTGAAGTGTTCAAGGCCAGCCTGGATGGGGCTTGGAGCCACCTGGTCCAATGGAAGGTGTCCCTGTCCATGGCAGGGGTGGAATGGGATGGAGTGTAAGATCCCTTCCAACTGAAAACATTCTGGGGTTCTGTGATTCAGAACCATAAAACCACAAAGCCTCAACCCAACCGTGCCCAGCCCTGGAAATCCCATGAGTGAATGGAGAGGGCTCTGCCGTGCCTGTGACCTCCTGCCAAGGCTCAGGGGAATCTGTCCCAGCCCAGTGGGGACCTCCCCTTGCCCTGCTGCCTGGGGGAGACAGCAGAATCCCCTTGGGGAGGCTGCAGATCTGACTCATCCCTTCCCTCCACTTCACTCGCTCCCACAGGTTAATCTTTAATGGCTGATAAAGGAGCGCTTTGATGATCGAGGACACGGGGAACTGCGGAGACTGGTACAGGCAGCCCCGGGGGATCCCGAGGTGACAGAGGGCTGTGTCCCCCCGTGCCTCTGCAGCCAGGCCCTGTGCTCTCACCACAGGCTGGGCACAGCCTCATCTGCCAGGGGCCGGTCCCTCAGCCCTTCCCTGGAGATCCCCCAGGCTCGTCCCAGGCACTCACGTCGTGGGCGAAGGCGTAGGGGGTGATCCAGGTGATCGGCTGCCCCAGCACCTCTGCCTGGTAGTAGATGCCCTTGATGGAGAGGAACACCTGGCAGACAGAGCAGAGGCTCAGCGGGAGGAAGCAGGATCGCTGTGTCCCTGTCACTGTCACCCCTTCCCTCGGCAGGAGGCTCCTCAGGGAGCGCCAGGTCCCAGCGGGATCCGGGATCCGACATCCCAGCGGCTCCCAGTGCCCAAAGGCAGCTCCCCACAGCCCCCACCTTGCGCAGGGAGCGCGAGGCGATGACGTAGTTCTGGAACTCCACGGCCAGGCGCCGGCACAGCTGGATGGTCTGGACGTGGCACTTGCCGGTGCGGGGGAAGGTGGAGAACAGGAAACACATGGACAGGGCATCGTCCAGGTCCCGCAGGGCGTCGATGAACGTGGGGTACCTGTGCCCAGGTGAGGGACAAGGGGGAGGGGTCACACCCAGCCCCAGAGCCCTGCAAAAGCTGCTGGGGCTGGGGGAGACCCTGAGTGAGAAAGGAATGGGAACTGGGGAGCATCCACTGGCACATCCCAGCACAACCCGTCAGAGAACGATGGAATATCCTGATTTAGGAAAGCACCCATAAGATTTATGGGGTTTCCTCCCTCCTGTATCCTCCTCCTTTCTCACTGTCAGCAAACACACCAAAGCCTTGGCAGCATTAACCCTTCACCAGCTCTCCGAGGAAAATGCCCCACAGGGAGAGCAGGGGAGTTCCCTGTGTTCCCCTGGAGCCACCCAGGATGGCTGGGCATTCCCTGCTCTCTCATTCCTTCTTCTCCAGCTCAGAAACACAAAATTCCATCAAAAACTCCAGAAATTGTGCATGAGGTGGATTCCCAGAGAGGGATAGATGTGGTGAAAGATCAAAGAATCCCAGGATAGTTTGGGTCAGCAGGGACCTTACAGATCATCCAGTGCCACCCCTGCCATGGCAGGGACACCTCCCACTGTCCCAGGCTGCTCCAAGCCCCAATGTCCAGCCTGGCCTTGGGCACTGCCAGGGATCCAGGGGCAGCCCCAGCTGCTCTGGGCACCCTGTGCCAGGGCCTGCCCACCCTGCCAGGGAACAATTCCTGCCCAATATCCCATCCATCCCTGCCCTCTGGCAGTGGGAGCCATTCCCTGTGTCCTGTCCCTCCATCCCTTGTCCCCAGTCCCTCTCCAGCTCTCCTGGAGCCCCTTTAGGCCCTGGAAGGGGCTCTGAGGCATCCCTGGAGCCTTCTCCTCTCCAGGTGAGCACCCCCAGCTCTCCCAGCCTGGCTCCAGCCCTTGGAGCAGCTCCATGGCCTCCTCTGGACTGGCTCCAGCAGCTCCAGGTCCCTCCTGTGCAGGGCCCCAGAGGTGGATGCTCCAGGTGGCTCTGCCAGGGTTGCCTCACCTCTCCTTGACGATGTGGTCGAGTTTGTAGGTGGGTTTGTTGTCCTTCAGCCGTTCTACAGCGCCCCACTCGCTCTTCCCGTACGCCTTGCGGAGCTTCCGGACAAACACCTGGGGGGACAGGGGCACGTGGGAGCTCTGTGGCACAGGATGAGCCCCAGGGGCCCCTTGGGTGGCATAAATACCTTGTACTCCCGGAATTTGTTGACAATGGGCTCATGGAGCAGGAATTTGATGTCCTTGAGCAGGTAGAAGGTCCTGGGGGCTGTGGAGCCCTTGTTCACCTTCTTCTTGTGCTTGGGTTCGTGGGGGTAGATCCCCTTGAGGATGCAGAGGCGCCTGGGGACAGGGACAGGGCTGGGAAAGAGGGGCCACGGCACCCCTGTGTCCCCTGGGACACCTCACACCCTTCCCTTGGAGGGGGAGCCCCTGAAACCCAGGACACACGGGACACTGCTCCGTGACACCGAGGGAAAAGGCCACCCCAAGGGCCACCCCACACACCCAGCACAGACCTGAGTCCCTCTGCTGCCCCAAGGGGAACTGGGGGCGATCAGTGGGGTCTGGATGGGCAGAGTTCAGGAGTTATGGGGAGCCTTAAGGGGAGCAGGAGGGCTGTGGGGTCTGAGGGCAGTTCAGGGGTCCCACGGGGGGGGTCCTGGGGATCGGGGGTAGGGCACTGAGGGGAGTTCAGGGGTGCCTGGGGGCTTCAGGGGGTTTGGGAGGGAGTTCAGAGGCACCGAGGATCCCGGGGGAGAGGTTTAGGGGAACCCGGGGCCACCCCACACACCCACCACAGGCTCCATCTCTCATCGCTTCCCTGGGTGGGAACCGGGGGAATTCAAGGGGACCGGAGGTTTGGAGGGATGGGAATAGGGGGCAGCGGAAGGGGGTGCGGGGTCTCAGGGGGTCCGGGGAGTTCCGGGGGTCCCGGACGCACCTGAAGTCGGGCAGGCTCAGCTGCAGCTTCTTCCGTGCCCGGTTCCGGGTGATGTAGTTGGTGACGGCTCCGCGCTCGTACTGGGGAGAGACAGGGCCGTCGGGGGAAGCTCGGGGGGCTGAGGGGAACCCCGGAACCGCCCCGGGGCCACCGGGACCCCTGGGAACGGAGAGGGAGCAGAAACGGGAACCGGGGGATGGGGGGGCTGGAAAGGGGCACCGAGCACGGGCAATGCGGGAGCAGGAGCGGAGTCGGGCACCGGGAGAGGGGGCGAGCACCGCTGCCAGGGACACGACACTGCCGGAGGGGCGTCACCGGCACCCGAACGGGGACAGCAGCCACGGACCGACAGCGGGGGACACGGAGAGGGCAGGGGGGAAGGAACGGCACGAAAAGGCACCGGGCGGTGAGCACAGGCCCCGGGAGCGTGACCGCGGCCGAAAGGAGGGGTCGGGAAAGGTTTGGTACCTTCTTCTTCTCCAGCCCACCCATGGCCCCGCCGCCGCCACAGCCACGTGCGCCCGCGCAACGCAGGACCCGCGCTGCCCGCGCCCTGCCTGCGCCTACTGCCCGGCCTGCGCACACCGGAGCGGGCCCGCTCTGGGCACGAGGGCAGCGCGGACACCGGGAACAGCGTGGACAGAGCAGCGAGCGGGCACAGAGAGCGGGCAGAGCGAGCGGGCGGGCCGGGACAGGCGGCAGAACGGGGCTCGGTCAGGCGCGCCTCGGGCAGCCCAGAGCCCTGGCGGGGGGGGG